CCGCCGGCCCCGCCGGCGACCTCGCTCGCCTGAACAACATCCTCAGCGGCATCAGGGCGCTCACGGGCACCGGCGCGACCGGCACCACCGCGGCCGCCGCCAACGGCGGCGTCGCCTCCACGCTGGCGCTGCTGACCAGCTTGGTCGGGGGTGGCACCACGGCGAGCACCACTGCCGGCGCCAGCGGCAAGGTCAACCTACAGAATATACTGGACGTCGCCACCACGGTGGGCAGCGGGGGCGGGAGCGCTTGGTTTGTGCATTTTGCAGGGAAGGGCGTCAGAAATTGAGCCGCTCGTGCTCAACACCGCTGCATTCTGCTTGTGGTCCGTACCCCTGGTGTGTTGCAGCATCAGACGCTTTTGCAGCCAGCATTTTGCAGTCGCGAGACTCCCTCAAGTCCCATCAAACCGACCCCAAAACATCCTGCAGGTGGCGCCTCTCATTGAGAAGCTGGGCGGCGTTTCAACCTCCGCCTCCTCATCAGCGGCCACCAGCCAAGCCAGCGGCCCGATGTCTGCGGTCCTGTCCTTGATCACCGGCAGCGGGGCCAACGGCCTAGGCGTCGACCTGCCCACCCTCGCGACCGTGTTCAAGGACGTCTCCCCGCTGCTGCAGATCCTCGGCGGCAAGACGGTCAAGCCCACCACCAGCACCAGCGCCACCTCAACCACCACCGCCGGCGCCAGCGCCAGCGCGAGCACGAGCATGCTGTCCAAGGTTCTCAACCTCGTGAACACCGTCCGCAGCACCACCAACACTGCGAGCGGCATCGACCTCACCGACGGCATCAGCATGTCCGACCTCACCAACACGTTGACCCTGGCCACCCAGGCGGCGCCTGTGTTCCAGGCAATCACGGCCGCCGCGGGCACCAGCGGGTCCATCTTGACCAAAATCCAGTCCTTCCTGGACTCTCTTTAGGCAGGGAAATCATTTTGCAGGATGGGCTGAACCTTCCTTGGGGCATGTCTGTGCCTGTTCAATTACCGCTGGATTTCATTCTTGTCTGATTTTGTGGGGTATGCCAGCACAAAACCAAATCAACCAACATCCGTTTGAGGACCGGCCCTCCATCACTGTCCTGACAGCGTGTGCACCTGCCTTCCACCTGCATTCGTGCTTTGAGAGTCATCTGGCCAAATCATGGCATGCAGCGTGCACCCTGCAAGGTCTTTGCTGATCAGGGTCCGAACCGCTGTTCTTCCCTGCCTGTGTCCACTACACCGCTTTTCTGACCCAAATTTGGGCCCAACAATAATACAACTTTGCGTCCTTTGAACCTGCTGCATGCCTTAATGGAGCCTGTCCAGCCCTTCCTTGTATGCCCATGTGCTTGCAGCTCGGTATTGCTTTGTCAAGCTTGCAGTCCGACAGCTCACGACTGTAACATCACGCAATTCATCTAAGCACAGTCTGAGCTGTATGGTGGGCTTTTGGGCTGCTTCAACATCAGCATTGTGCTCTGCAGGATAACCCTAAGCCATGATGGTTGTTGCTGATCTGCCCGTGGCGTTTGCTGACCTGCCCGTCGATAGCACTATGCTCTCAGACTGGCAGCTGCGCCTCAAATACGCAAGCAGTCCAAGCACGCAGCAGCCCCTTGCAATGGGATGTGAGCGATGAACAAAAGCGCACAGCTGTCAACCTGTGCCCTACTTATAAGACTACCTGCGCACACCTCCCTTGGGTCGCAACACAGAAGCATTTACACATAGCAGAGCTAAAACCACAGCACAGAGCCGTGCAAGCGGGCACGGCGCTGCAGCACCCCGATCCGAAAGTTCAGGCAGCTGCCCGCCTGCACAAGCGCGCGCCCGCGCAGGCGACGCCGCCCAGGCACCGCATTGGACGGCCGGGAGAAATTTCAGCAAAAAAGCCATGTCGTGCGCACGCACGACCGCGTGTGCAGGCGGGCGCAGATGTAACTGAGAATGAAGCCGCTTGTCACCCTTGCTTCCCAATCTCCACTTTGCGCGCGAACTTGAAGGTATTGTAGAGGAGGGAGTCGATGATGCCGGCCACCGTGAAGACGCCGCCGATGATGGCGCAGGTGGTGGTGAGGAAGTGGTACCAGTGGCGCGGCTTCTCCTTGACAACCACCTTTGGGTGCGGGGATGTGTGTATGTGTGCGTGCGTGTGTTGTGTACAACGGAGAGTGAGAGAGAGAGAGAGACAGAGAGAGAGAGAGAGAGAGAGAGAGAGATTTTGTGTGCGTCTGACACGGGGAGTCAGTGAGTGCATAACAGGTGAGCGTGCGGGCGTTTTGAGCAGGTGCGTGGGTGGGAGGGATTGCCAGGGGCATACACACCAAGCGGCAGCACTTAGTGCAAATGCAGGGCTGCACGGCCTGCCATCTGTCGCCACGTGACCATTTCCACAGCCACCAGGAACATCCGCCCCAACGCCTCCCTCTCCCCCCGCCAAGGAAACTGCATCAGCACACACGCCCTGCCGTCCGTCCGGCCGCCCTCGCCCTCTCCCCCACGCCCCACCCCTTTGCCCACCTGTATCGGCGACAGGTCGTACGTGAACTTGGCCGTCGGCGTCTTGTCGGTCACGTAGGTGTGGGAGTGCACCGTGTACTCGTAAGCGTCGAAGCTGCTGCCCCGCGTGTGGCGCCGCGGCTCGATGGTGGTCGTCACCACCTACGGTCAGATCGGAGGGCGGAAGGTGCGAGCGTCTGTTGGTCAAACACAGGTCAAAGGGCGACGCGAGGGCGGCGCGGCTCGCCAAGGCACGCGAGGACGGCGGGTGTGCGGTCGGGGCAGTGCAGCCCGCGGCGCGCCCAGTGGGCAAGACCGACGTAGCTATGGCGGGGGCGGGGGCCAGGGCTCGGGGCCCGGCGGCGATAACGTGGGGACCTGGGACGAGTGCGGCCGTTCGCACGCATGCGTTTGCGGGAGTGCGCGGCCCACCTGCATGTAGTGTTCGTGTGTGTGCTGCGGCGAGTCGCTGAAGAAGAACTGGTCGTGCATCTTGTCCAGCCAGTCTGGGGCCAGGCCCCCCGGGTGGAGCTTTTTGAGCTCCCAGCTGGGGGGGGAGAGGGTGGGAGGTGGGGGGAGCGTGAGGAGGGTGCTGGTTGGTTGAAGGCGCACAGGAGATAGCACACGAGGGTGTGTGTGGAGAGTGGAGCTGTGTTCTGGTAGGCGGGGGTATGGGTGTTTGTTGGGTTTTCGTGTCTTTGTGCCTGATGGAAAGAGGGGAAGAGAGTGTGTGTGTGTGTGTGTATGTGTGTGCGTGTGTGCGTAAGCGTGTATGCGCGCGGGCGCATGTCCGCATCAGATTAATATCGTGATTGAATCAAGCGCTGATCACCGGAGCTCGCCGCCAACCCGCCCCCGCTCGCCGCTGCACCGCACCGCTCCGCGGCGCAGGGCGCCTCACACC